CTTTAATTCCTCTTCACTAATGAACAGTTGCTGACCAGGGCAGCTTGGAGGACAATTCAGGCATAACCCAGTCCTTTTTATGGGTGTCTTCAGTGGCTCTGATCTGGGTCTGGCTAGCAGGTACAGGATCTTCTCTTTTCTTTTTAACTGATGACTGGAAGGTCTTAGTGTTTGATCATGGACTATGGAAATGGCCACATAATGGTGTGGCCCTGTGGTCTACCCTCTCTTAGTCTAATCTGAATGTCCTGTGTGTAGGACTGGATTCCCTTCTCTGTATACTGACAAAAGGACAGGACTCTAGGATCCTTTTGATGGGTAGACTCACTTGCTCAAAAAAGCTGATATGAAGGTTTCATTGTGCAGAAACTCACCCTCCAATATGCTTCTTGTGAAATGTTGTCAACCTCTGAACCACTGTGCTGAATCCCATTGTAGTTCCTAATATCACAGTTTAAAATTGCACAGTAATATAGAATGTGTTTTACATATTCACTGGGCAATTTATGTGCTAGTCATGTTGCTTGAAACCAGACAAAAATTCATACTCTCCTGGAATAGAAAAGACAATTTTTTAAAAGTAGAATATTTAGTGTGAAAGTGGTAGTAAGTACTGGGGACTAAATGAGGCAGGAGAGGGAACTGGGAAAGAAATGGAACTGTAGTGTGAGTTGAGGAAGCATGGAAAATTTAAAATTTCTTGTGTCAAGGAATGTCTTACAAAGACATAAAGGCAAGAAACAGACTCAGGCAGACATCCAGGGAGAAGATACACATTTTACAAGTGCAAAAACCCTGAATTGGGCACGCAAGGACTATACATGCATAGTTTATATGTATGTGTGTTTGTATGCATATGTATACAAACATGTACATATGTATATATATATATGTGATATATATATATGACATGGTTTATTGTATAGATGTGGCACACAACAAACCTCTTTCAAATACAACAGGGTAGAAAGATTGACAGTTGTGAATGAGCAAATGAATGAATGGAGTCCAATGTACTTCTAGTACAGTATATAAAATATTAGCACATGAATTTATGGAGTTTATTTTCTCCCTTTAAACCTCAAGAAGACTTAACAATTTTTTTAAAATAAGAAAACCCTTAATTTTAATGTCTTTTCGCTAACTTCTTCCTTCTTATTTTTTAGACAGCTTACTTTAGAAGAAATGAAATCTTTTGTTCTCTACTCCTTTATATTTAAAAATTAAAATTAAGATAATCAAAGAGTGATTTGATATTGGAAAATGTGAATTAGTTCTCTAAATTAGCCCATTAAAAACCTGATGAAGGTGTTTTGCCAAGAAAAAATCATCAACAAATTCATGATTTCAAATAAAGATCAAAATGTAAAATTCTTTCCTAATTTTAGGATAAGACGAAATATATGCTAAGTTGTACACATTTAACTTTTTTTTATTTGCCAAATTAGTAAGCCTCTGCAGTTGCATAGCATTCTTTATCACTATGAGTCTTAGAGATATTATAATTATTTTATGTTTTCTGTTTATATCACAGTTAATGAATTGAAAAATGCTTTCTAGATCTTCATTTATGCCTCTCTAAACCACAATGACTGAAGTAGGTCAGAAATGAAAATATTAATTAAGATAAGGACAGAATCATGAAAACACAGAAGTTCTGTCACATAATCGATAAGTATTCTTTCCTTTTATCTCCCATTACTTCTCTTTCTTTTTCAAAAAAATCCTTTACTTTGTTCCAATGACAATTTAAGAACATAGAAGTTATATAAAATATACATTAAATATATATACATTTTTTCTTATATGGAAAATGAAGAAAAAGTGAAAATAAATATGTTTTATTTGATGAAACATATATATATGTGTGTGTGTACATATGTGTGTGCTTATGTGCATATGACATTGAACTATCTCATCATCATCATTATCTAACTTCCCAATTCAGAATATTAAGTGACTTTCATTATTGAATATATTTTCAATCAGTAGAAAGAGGGAAGAGAAGGAAGTCACTTTGGATTTCTTTCTCACTGGTCTCCAAATATTAGCTCTGGTGGCTTCATTTCTAGGCTTTTAATTTTTTTTGTCTTAGAACATTATCTTATTTAATTCTTACAATATTTATGAGACCAATTTTGTTCCAATTTTACACGTAAAACTACTGAATAATGACCACTGGTCACAGAATTAGTAGTTATTCATTCCTTCATTCAACAAATATGTTTGGAAAGGCAGGTAGGTTTTTTCTGGTAGTCTTCATTTGAGTGGAGAGAGATGACAACTAATGTAACCAATATACAAATGAGAACTTTAGAAGTTTTAAGACAGAGAGATGGGGAAAGACAAAACAATGAGGGAAGTTCAGAAAGACTCCCAAGGAAGTGTCATTGAAGCTGAGACCAAATGAGGAAGAAGAATTGTAGAAGCAGAACAAGCAGAAGGAAGAATCACAGGAAAGCAAAGGCCTGGGCTGTAAATTCATACTCCACTTCAGGAGGTTAATGGGATGAATGCTTTAACAGGTCGTGGTCACTTCTGTACAATCTTACATAGTGTTAAGCCTATGAATAGAGTGGGTGGCTTTGTGTCACTTAGTAGTCTTCTAGAGTCAAAATGTCCCTAGTCATCAAATTGTTTGCAGGAGATTAATAAAATGTCATGTTTCATGTCTGCCATCCTGGGATTGTAAGGTCATAGAAGGGCAAGGAGCACAGAAGGCAAATACGCCTGCCTTACTTCTTCCATGTGCTTACTTCAAAGGAAGCTCCCTCTCCATTAATTTTCACTGGAGAGGATAAGAGAAATGATCTTTTAATGAGATGAGCAATCCAGGTTACTATGTACCTGCTGGGACGCCACACAGTGCAATTCGCTCAGCTCTTTTGAACTCAGAATGGCTGTCCTCACAACAGAGAAGAAGCAAAGCTACAGTGAATGGGTGTTTTTTAGGCCAGATGCACCTTGATTCCCACTATTTCCTACTGCTATATTTCCCTTCCTCTCATGGCACTGATTACACCATTTTAAGATATCAAATATTTTCAAACTACTTAGAATTTGGGGTGAGATTTTAGTCACTTTTGTGGCCCAGGCTCAACCCAATTCATTTGCAAACCTCTCTGGTTAATGTCATTTACAAGTTTTAGTGTGACCCATGGAACCCATAAAAGACAGATATTCTCTCTCTCTCTCTCTCTCTCTCTCTCTCTCTCTCTCTCTCTCTCCTGTCTATCTATTTCTTTCTCTCTCAGTGGTTCTGAGTTTGAACTCACACTTGTTAGGCAGGTGCTCTCCTGCTTGAACCCCTCTACCAGCCTGATGGAGATATTCTCAAATAAGAGACAAATTATTCTCATTTGGGTATAGAAAGAGAGGGGAACGAAAAGGCCCAGGAAGACCTTGGGTGGAGTAATATTATAAAATCATGATTTAACATGATTGTAATGCTTTAACAAGCTGCATAAACCTTTACAATATTCAAATAAGCTCCTGACGAGATGAGATGTACACTAAATATGACTATGGCCAGGAGGCCTCTGCCAACCTGTAAAAATGACAAAGTAGACTTATAAATTATATGCCAACTTCTATTAGGTAAGTTCATTTCCTAAGACTTCTGTTACAAAGTCCCCAAAACCGTGTGGCTTAAAATAATGAAAATTTATTGTTTCACTGTTCCAAGGATTAGAAATCTGAAATCAAGTTGTCTACAGGGCCATACTTTCTCTGATAATTTTAGGGGAGTATTCTTATTGGACTTCCAGCTTCTGGTGTTTTCCAGTAATTGTTGGTGATCATTGGCTTGTAGATGTCAGTTCATTTGTATGGTCCATCTTTTCCCTGGGTGTCTTCACATCTTTTTCCTCTGTGCATGCCTATCTCTGGTCCAAATTGTCTCTTTGTGTAAGTACACAGTCATATTAGACTAGGCCCCAACCTCAGTACCTCATTTTAACATGATCACCCCTATAAAGACACTGTTTTCAAATGAGATCACATTCTAAAATAATTAAAGTTAGGACTCCAGCATCTTTTATAAGGGACATAACTCAACCTATAAGTTACAGTACTGACCTATAAGTGTCAGTGTTATCTGCTTTTTTGACTTGGGCTGCCCAATCAGAGGGAAACACAGACTAGGGTTGTCAGATTCAGCAAATAAATCATAAGATGCCAGGTTTAGTTAAAATTTTAAATTAATAATAATTTTAACTTATATATCCCAAATACAGTATAGGACATATTTATGTTTAAAACTTTTGTTGTTTATCAGAAACACAAATTTATCTAGGTAAACATTTTATCTGGCAGCCCTAAAGCAGCTCTTCAAGATCCTCTGGTTTTCCATTAGCTCCTAAGTGCTACTGCCCTAACTATGATACCTGAAGCAATGGCCATACACAGAGAAACCTGTGCTAAGAGTTCTGAGCTGTGGATTCCAGCATCCAATGTGCTATAGGTGTCTGATTTGACTATAATAATTACCATCCCTAAGACTCATTAATTAAAATAGAAATAAAAATGTCTTCTCTGCCTACTTAAATTATTGTCGTTATCCTCAAAATATTTAAGTGAAATAAAAAATGTTTCTAAAAGAGTCATGTTACAATAATAGAAGTTTGTTATTTGTGTAGCTTTAAATTTTGGAGCTCAAAGTTCTACCTTATTCCTTGCTCTGAAAGCCAATCCCACAGATCAACTAATACTATGTGGGCACCTCTATCCCTTCCCTATAGTAAATTAAGGATCTCCCTCTAGAACCATTGCCATGGATTTAATGCTTTGCAATAAAGGACTGAAGATCTGAAATAAGAAATGTTGGCCATAATATTGACCCTCTGAGTTGATGACCAGAATTTTTTTCTGCCCTGAAACATAATTTTTTTCCATCAACACTGTAATTCAGGCCATTTTGTGGGAACGAAGCGGTAGCTGGGCTGCTCTCGGACCCCTCACTGCTTCAGTTTCTCTGTCGCTCTTCCTAGCTGTGGCCTAGCGGAGAAATAAGATGTCTGAATATATTCGGGTAACGGAAGATGAGAATGACAAGCCCATTGAGATACCGTCTGAAGACGACGGGACAGTGCTACTGTCCACGGTTACAGCCCAGTTTCCAAGGGCCTGCGGGCTGCGCCATAGGAATCCAGTGTCTCAGTGTATGAGAGGTGTCCGGCTGGTGGAGGGAATTCTGCACGCCCCGGATGCTGGCCGGGGAAATCTGGTATACGTTGTCAACTATCCCAAAGATAACAAAAGGAAAATGGATGAGACGCTTGCTTCATCAGCAGTGAAAGTGAAAAGAGCGGTCCAGAAAACATCTGATTTAATAGTGCTGGGTCTCCCGTGGAAAACAACTGAGCAGGACCTAAAGGACTATTTTAGTACCTTCGGAGAAGTTCTTATGGTGCAGATCAAGAAAGATACTAAAACTGGTCACTCAAAAGGGTTCGGCTTTGTTCGTTTTACGGAATACGAAACCCAGGTGAAAGTAATGTCACAGCGACATATGATAGATGGACGGTGGTGTGACTGTAAGCTTCCTAATTCCAAGCAAAGCCCAGATGAGCCTTTGAGAAGCAGAAAGGTGTTGGGCGTTGTACAGAGGACATGACTGCTGAAGAGCTGCAGCAGTTCTTCTGTCAATACGGAGAAGTGGTGGATGTCTTCATTCCAAAACCATTCAGGGCTTTTGCCTTTGTTACATTTGCAGATGATCAGGTTGCCCAATCTCTTTGTGGAGAGGACTTGATCATTAAAGGAATCAGCGTGCATACATCCAATGCCGAACCTAAGCACAATAGCAATAGACAGTTAGAAAGAAGTAGAAGATTTGGTGGTAATCCAGGTGGCTTTGGGAATCAGGGTGGGTTTGGTAACAGTAGAGGGGGTGGAGCTGGCTTGGGAAATAATCAGGGTAGTAATATGGGTGGAGGGATGAACTTCGGTGCTTTCAGCATTAATCCAGCAATGATGGCTACAGCCCAGGCAGCACTGCAGAGCAGTTAGGGTATGATGGGCATGTTAGCCAGTCAGCGGAACCAGTCAGGCCCGTCAGGTAATAACCAAAGCCAGGGGAACATGCAGAGAGAGCCAAATCAAGCTTTTGGTTCTGGAAATAACTCTTACAGTGGTTCTAACTCTGGTGCTGCAATTGGCTGGGGCTCTGCATCGAATGCGGGGTCAGGTAGTGGTTTCAATGGAGGCTTTGGCTCGAGCATGGATTCTAAATCTTCCGGCTGGGGGATGTAAGGGTGGGCTAGGGTTGGTTGGTGTGGGATGGTGGGAATTCAAATTTTTCTAAACTCACGGTAAGTATATTGTAAAATAACATGTACTGAGAATTTTCAGAATTGGTTTGTTCAGTGTGAAGTATATTCAGCAGTATTTTTGACATTTCAAAGCTCTCATGAATAGGATTAATGTCCTAATAAAATGGATCCCTAGAGATCACCATTTTCCCTTTCTTCTATGAGAGGTTACTGGAAAAATGATGTTTATCTATGAACCAGGAAGTGGGCCCTTACCAGACATTGAATCTACCCGCCACTGGATCTAGATCTTCCCAACCTCCAGCACTGTGAAAAATTATTTATAAGCCAAAAAAAAAGAGGAAGAGCTAAAGGAGTTTTATAAGCTTTGTTACATAAAGGGTGGAAATATTGAGTGGCTGAAAGTGAACTGCTGTTTGCCTGATTGGTAAACCAACACACTACAATTGCTATCAAAAGGTTTCTCCTGTAACATTTTATCCCTGGACTCGTTAAGTGAATTCTTTGCATGTTCAAAGTGGAAACCATTGGTTAGAACTACATTCTTTTTTTTGTTTTCATTTGAACCCCTACCATATGGATTTTTTCCTTAGAAAAATCTCCTTTTGGGAGAGCATGATGTCACCATGTTTGGTTCTTCTAGTTTTGTTTTTTTAACACTTGTCTCCCTTCATATACAAAAGTACAATATGAAGCCTTCATTTAATCTCTGCAGTTCATCTCATTTCAAATGTTTATGGTAGAAGCACTTCATTGAAAGTAGTGCTGTAAATATTCTGCCATAGGAATACGTCTGTCTACATGCTTTCTCATCCAAGAATTCGTCATCACGCGCACAGGCTGCGTTTTTGACGGTGAGTGTCCCATTTTTATCCGCTACTCTTTATTTCATGGAATCGTATCAACGCTATGAACGCAATGCTATACAGATATGGAACCAGAAGGCTGTTTGAACTTTTGAAACCTTGTGTGGGATTGATGTGGTGCCGAGGCATGAAAGGCTAGTATGAGCGAGAAAAGAACAGAGCGCGTGCAGAGACTTGGTGGTGCATAATGGATATTTTTTAACTTGGCGAGATGTGTCTCTCAGTCCTGTGGCTTTGGTGAGAGCGTGCGCAGAGAGCAATGATAGCAAATAATGTACGAATGTTTTTGCATTCAAAGGACATCCACTTCTGTTGGAAGACTTTGAGTTTTGTTCCTAGATAACCCAGGTCAGTTGAATGTGTTGAGTGAAGTGATACTTGTACTTCCCCTCCCCTTTTGTCAACTGCTGTGAATGCTGTGTGGTGTGTGTTCTCTTCTGTTACTGATCTGTAAGTGTGGGAATATGACTGAAGCTGATGGGCTGAGAACATGAACTGAGCCTGGGGTGTGCTTTGCAGGAGTACTGGAAGCAGAGTTCACCAGTGAGCTCGGGTGTCTCCAGAAGGGTGCAAGTTCTCATGTCTGTTAGCTACACATAAGAACGCTGTTTGCTGCAGTTCTGTGTCCTGTGCTTGGGTGCTTTTTATAAGAGTTGTCAATGTTGGAAATTCTTAAATAAAACTGATTTAAATAAAAAAACAAAACAACAAAAAAAATGCTGTAATTCACCTCCTTCTTTGGAGATGGTATTATTGTTTGTGTACTGTAGGTGAGAAATCAGTTTTTAAATTTAGAAAAATTTCCCATAACAAAAAAAAAGGGAAGAAAGAAGAAAAGGCCCTGAAATGCTGTGCATTGAGATCACATCCTTTCATTAACAATATGCAACCAACGTTGAAAAAACTTTTCAAATAAGAACTGGAATAATTACCCATACTTCCTAAATGAACACTTGATGCGGTTGCTATCAAAATGAAAATCTGTCATTTCTACTTGGACTCTGAGGGCCCATAATTAAGTAGGCTTGGGAGCTGTTTTAAATCCACACTCCTAAGGAGGAAAATTATATGCTTTATCTAGTAAGGAGACTGTGATTTGTACTTTAAATTCTGTCTCATAGGGATTTCTTTCCAGAGGTGAAAGATTTTCTTCATTTGTTTGAGGTAAAGTGCTCTTGTCAGAATTCACAGAAAGTACAAGGAACAGTGTAACAGTGAAGTTCGGTAGATTTCTATAGCTTATCACTTTTACTATTTCTCTCAATTTTGCTATTATAAGTATATTTACTATACTAGTGCATCAATATATCACTGCCTCATTTAAACATTTAAAGGGGGGTACTGTCAAGTGCTACATCAAATCATTTAAATTTGGGGGAGTTTACAATACACCCATTTAACAGCTATCATCTGCTTCCTGTGAGATCATTGCATACTATCAACAATGTAGGTAGTCTACACCTGTCCTCGTAGGTCACAAGAAGAATAAATTCTGTGCAATTGTCAAAGACAATAACATTCACATATATATGTTGCTTTAGCTGAAACTTTAATCCTAATTAAGTTTTTCCTTTGTAATCTTCTTGTATTTAATTTTAGAATGTGGCCGCAAGACATTGGTATTTCTTTCTCTCTCTTTTTTTTTTATTGCTGTGTTTGGGGGTACATTGTGACATTTACAAAGGTTCCTGTAATATAGCAAATATATCATACTTGAATTCACCCCTCCACTATACTTCTTTATCACTCTCTCCCCATTTCTGGAACAGTTTCAACAGGTATCAATTTTCTGTTTACATGCATGTGTACACAGTATTTGTGCCATATTCACCCCCCTACTCCCTTCCCCCTTCTCCTTTCCCTCTGGTATCAACCCCCTCCCAGGTAAGACTTGTTCCATCCTCCTGTTCTCTGATTTTGTAAATTAAAAGAATGACATTTTTGCTTATTTAAAATAGCTACACAGGGAGTTTCCTTGTGGCTTTTCCATGTATATGTGTATTATAGCCCGATTTGGTTCATCTCCTCTTTTTTCTTCTTTCTGCCTTAGTCCCTTTCTTATGGCTGTTTCAACTGGTTTGAAAATTCTATATTCATTCTTGTATGGAGACTACAACAACCATATTCACCTTAACTTCCTTCCTTTACCCTCCCCCTCTCGTATGTGACCTCCCCTTATCATGACCTGTTTTCGTAATATTGCTGATTTGTATTAGGTCTACATTCCACATATGAGAGAAAACATGTGACTTTTGGCCTTCTGAACCTGGGTAACTTCACTTAAGATGATGTTCTTCAGTTCCATCCATTTATCTGCAAACGAAAAAAATCATTCTTCTTTGTGGCTGAGTAAAATTCCATTGTGTATAAATACCACATTTTCTTAATCCATTCATCAGCAGTGGAGCATCTTGGCTGTTTCCATACCCTAGCTATTGTGAATAATGCTGCAATAAACATGGGTGTGCAGGTGCCTTTGTCATAACCTGACTTACATTCCTTTGAGAATATACCTAAGAGTAGGATTGCTGAATCATATGGCAGTTCTATTTTTATTTTTTTGAGGAGCCTTCGTACTGTTTTCCATACTGGTTGTACTAATTTACATTCCGACCCACAGAGTATGAGGGTTCCTTTTCCCCCATAACCTTGCCAACATTTTGTTGTTTGTGTTCTTGATGATAGTCATTCTCGTAGGAGTGAAGTGAAATCTTAACGTGGTTTTGATTTGCACTTCCTTTATGGTCAGGTACGTTGATAGAAACTTTACAATAATAACCAGTGACGGGTTTTTTTTCCCTAAAGTACACATCACAGAGAGAAGTACAGCTAAGAAAATGGGAAATTAGTCTGTTTTACTGAAGCAGTTGGGACTGGGGAAAAATAGGCCTGTCCACTTCTATTCTCCTGCATGGACACAGAGCTCACTAGCAGAGGTAATGATTGGTACTGTGAGATGGCATCTGTCAAAGGACCCACCATGCAAACACATCCATGGACAGGCCTGACAAATATCCATCACTGGAGGGCTCCCAGGTAGCTTTTTCTACAATTTATAAATTCATAAATATTGATCAGTGGATTCCGTAGATAAATATGTGTCTCTAGTAGAGTAATAGGGATCAGATATTCTCCAATTTGGGACTATTTGAAGATTTTTCATCCTTAGAATGCCTTTTTTAATTTTAGATTTACTAGTCCCTTGACAGGTGACCATATTAGAGTCATAATAGGACTAAGTTTTAGGACTAAGTAGAGAACTTCTTGCCACTAGATGAATTTCTTGTAAGTGAGTACATCATATTCTTGGAAGTAAATTATTATTTTCTATTCTCACTTTGCCATACTCACCCTTACTAACCATCTCTTACCTTTGTAATAAATAAGTAAACTTTACAAAGTATTTTCACATTAGTTATCTCTCATCTCTTGTACCTTTTTAGAGCTGAGGGACATGAGTCTCAAAGAGATGGGAGACCCTTCCCAGAGCCCCACAATGAGTAAACTTCAAAACTAGGCCTCCCAACTGATACTTTGATACCTGGACCAGCTCCAGCTTTACATCAAAATTGCCTCCTTCTTGCATCTACTGTCAATGTGTAGGTGGTTGAAAAAACTCTACTTAGGGGATGAAAAGTCTTCATTTAATTTACAATGCTGACTTGTCAGTTCATTTGTTTTGAAATTCAAATCAAAGTCTAATTCCAGAAACTATTATTTAATGATAATGTAATCATTTGTTGAAAATTAATTATTAAAGTTTCTATGAGACAGGCATCATGATCGTGCCGAGATCAATTGGTGATCAATCATGAAATAAGACACACATGCCTCTACCTTCATAAGCCCTAGAGTCTCAGAAGGGAGACAATTATGTGAGTAATCATACTACCATGACTTCCTTTATAAAGTAAACATAGGGCACCACAAAGAGGTTGCTGAAGGGTCCCACATCATTGCTAATTCAAGAGACATGTAGGGAGTGTTTACCGTATACCAGGCACTGTACTATTACTATGCAAGTATTGTCTTATTGAAGTTTTGCCTTGCTTATGCAGTCATAGATGACAAAAGTGAGACACCGAGGAGTTAACTAACCTATCCAATTCACAAAGAAAGGCAGGCCTCAAATTCAACCAAGCAGTGTGGTTCGAGTCCTTAGGCTTGATTTCTGCCTAGGCCAATTAAAACCTTCTCAAAGGAAATTTTAAGACATTTTTGTTATTATCTAACAGTTTTGACCATTGGAGCAGAA